ATTTAAGGTTGTTTTTAAAATACATTAACGATTGTGTTTGGAAATCTGTTATTCCAAGCCCTCTTAGTGTGTCGGACACGGCAAAGCTCCACCCCTCTCTACCTCTGCTGCCCTCCTTCTGTTTCCACCAGCAAACTGCCGACCATCGCTCTGTGTCCCCCCTGTTGTGTTGTGACCGATAAATTAGCCTACAGGACCCTGCCATGAGCTGCTGCCTCGTTTATGGATGAAACGTACATCCAGCACATACTGTAGCTCCCAGTTCGGAGGGACTTTAAGGTGTTCTCGGAGCCAAACGACGTGAAACCCTGGCTCGGTTTCAGGACCAGCCCAAGGCAGCCACCCTGCCATCCCGTTCCTGTGGAAGTGTCCCAGGAAGTGGACGGCTACAGAGACGTAAGATGTGCAAGTTGGAGGACTGCACCTTTGACAGCTTTGAGCTGCTGTATAGCGGAGCTGTGGATAGGATCAGAAGAAATAAAAGTAACCTCAGCCTCAGTAAGTGTAGCAGCTTTAAACCTGGGATTTATTTGGCATTATGATCTTTTAACCTATAGTTTAATTATCAAACCTGAGATATGCAAGATCATTGTAGCTGATCATGGTTTAACAGACTCCCTGAAAGCTTTACTCTCCTATTCTTGGGTTACTTTGTTAGCATGTTGTCTAGTTAGGAACACAAACTGGATTTTGACCATTAAAGATTCAGTTTGGGTTTTTGTATGATTATGATTATTATATGATTTCACAAGTAGTGTTGCTTTTGGCTGTCGCTTGTTTCAGCTTGGAGTCCTAGCCAGATTTAATCGATGTAATTGCAGACATTAACTCTAGAAAAACTATCAGCATGTCAGATTTAAGCGACTTTTCATGTGGCTATCTTCTCCAAAGATCCATCTTTACATTCAGGTTGAAACTTTTAATTTCTATTACTTGTTTTAAAAGGTTCCCCCTTAAACCTGATGATTCTCTCTTCAAAGGGAGGTTTGTTATTTATTTCAGAAGAGCACGCTGGAGAAGGTCAGTGCTTCAAAGTGACATCTTGTTGCTTGACATTTAGCTAATCCCTTTTCTGTGCTGCACATAAATGGTTCAGTTACTGGCCTTCATTTTTTTTTTTTCAAAGATACCCTGTGATACTAGGATGAGGAATTTCTATAGAACTCAGTGCTCCTATTTTAGAAGCAGAACATGCAGGCATATTGACAGAATTATTAATGTGTTTTCTAATGTAGAAAGCCACACTGGAATAGGGACGGGAATGTACTCTAGCTCTTTCTGCCTGACACACATAGCATATGGTGTCATGTTGTCGTATGGCCTATTTCCATAGTGTTGTCCTGGATGGACTTGTGGGAAAGGAGTCGTCCATTTCTCACAGTTAAGAGAAATTTCTTTACAAACTAAAAGAAACCACCAAAGATCAGCAACACAAATGTAACCTTAACAGATTACATGAAAGTCTACACTTCCCATAATGCCTTTATAGCGCCAACAGGTTTATATTCAGCTGTGAAAGGGAAAGTAGTACCCTAAACCAAAGTTTTTTTTTTACTTGTGTACCACCTTGGCCTTTTTATGGTACCATGAGTACCGACTTGGTCAAACGTGTCGATGATTTTCCAAATTTGGAAAGCATAACTGATTATAAAATGAACATTTAATTCTCAGGCACATCATTCTTTTCAATATAATGAAAAAAATAATATGAATATGTTGCCTGGAATAAATATTGAACCAACTACAAAATAAGATTAAGTTATAAATGTAGAAACTAAAAAAGTTTTTAACAAAAACTGGAGTTGTTCTGAATAATTTCCCTATAATCACATCTAAAGTTGACAAATCAGGGGAAAAAAGCAACACTTAAAAAAAATGTATGATATTCAGATTCACTGTCATTTATAAATTGCTTTCATCAATCAGCTGTTTATTAGTGGGACACCTGACCTCATACCTGGCCTATATTTTAGCCATTTATCCGTGACTGCAGCTATTTTAGTATGTTCTTCTCTTGTGACCTTTTTATTTGCCCCTTTCCTTTCTCTCTCACTCACAGAGCAGTTTTGTAGATGCACGGCACTGATACCCACTCTACTGATTCATTTAACTGTTGATTAGGACATTTCTTTTTGGTTGAATAAAATCTTGATTTTTTTTTTTTTTTTTCGTGTGTGTGTTTGGGTCCTTACAGAGCAATACAACCAGAAATATTTTATTTTATCTCTATCTGGGAAATAAAATATTAAATATTTTCCATGTACCCCTCTGCAATGCAACGGTGGACCACTAGGGGTACTAGTGGAATCACTGCCCTAAAGGATTGGGTTTCCTCTTGATGTCTAGTTACAGTTTTTCATAGTTCAGGGAAAACCAGTGTGTATCCAAACATACCTTAAGATATTGGTATTAATGTAAAAAAAAATCCAAACCATCCTGTTCTTTTGTGGAAAAACTAATCTACTAACTTATTTGTCCAGCCTTTGTAGGAGGAGCCATCACTCTTTTGGTTTGTGCTTCAAGCTCTGCCATAAAGTCAATTTCTCTCCTTTGTTTTCTTGAAAGACTTCCAGCGGCATTATGGATCCTGCTCTAAACTATAGCAGGTGAAGACCGATGTCTGTGATCTCCTGGATCAGCACAGACACCTGCCACTGTTTTATGCTTTCTCTCGTTGAATTTTTTTGCGAAAACCAAGCCATTAAAAATGTCTTTCTAATAATTTCCAGGATGATGGATGTTTCTCCAAAGGTTTTTAATTTCATTTGACCTTAATGACGGGTTGTATTTGCTTCAGAAGATGTCTGATGGATGCCTTTTAGGGGATTTCTTGACTCCTCGGGTCTTGTGGCAGTCAGACCTCTCGGCTCAGGTTATTAGTTTTCCACATGGAGCCTAGCAGGGTATGATAGTTGTATTTCCCAGAAAAGAGGTTATCTTCTTTTGCTCAGGATTTTTTCTATTTTGAAGATAATTAACTGTAATCTGGAGCATTCGATTGTGAAAACATTTTCTATATTAGAACAATTGCACTATAAGAGAATCAAATGATTATTTTTCCAGCTCAGGTTTTGTTGTGAAAAACTGAGTTGTGAGACTTCTTATAGAGAAAGTAGCCATAGATTAAATATCTCATTAGATCATGTTACACAATAATTTCAGTATGAAACAAATGCCTGTATCACATACTAGTCCTCTCCAATATAGTATTTTATTACACACAATTCTTCCAAATATTATTCTCTGCTTTTTTTTAGAAAACCTAAATGGATTGAAAATAATTTATCTGTTAAAGATTTTTATTCTGTAAATCACTACTGTAGATGTAAATGATGAAATTGAAAGTTGTAAGCAGTCCCACAAACTATCTTCATAAAAGATTAATGAATGCTCCGCTAAAAATCAACACAAAGTTTGTATTGACTGAATTGGGACGGCTCTTGTTTTGTTTATCTTATTGGATCAGATCAGCATCACTGTGTCGATCACTCTGGATTTCTGTTCTTCTCTCCATTGATGCAAGTCTGACTCGGCCCTGGGAAAATAAAGCAGACCCTGTTATAAACAGGACTGCTTTAGACTTGGACGGATTTATTTTGTCATTTTGTATACACGAGTGTATACAATAAGAAATTTCGTTTAAAACTGCTTAGATATTGGTTTTGGGGTAAAATATATTCTGTATGTTAGCAGCAATTCCTTTAAGCCTAACCACAAACTTTTAAGAAAATTTATTAAACATGAAATGAGACTAAGTATCGATTTTGAATAATTTCACCCGCACAGTCAGAAATGAAGTAAAATAACTATATCCACCATTTTGTTGGAATATTGACCGTTTTACTTTTGTGTGTTAATATGTATGTTTAAAAGTCACATTTTTCCCATATTTCTGAGCTCTAAACTTCCCTTCAATACTGGTTTTAGAATGATGCTAATGCTTTAGCTACAGGAGGTTAAACAGTAAATGTTTTATTAGCCATAACAGGAGATGATGAAGGTCAAAAGTAGGGATGCAACAAACGATTATTTTACTAAATGATTAATCTGTTGACCTTTTTTTTTTTTAATAGTTGGATAGAAAAAGATCCTTAAGGAACATTTTTTTAAAAAGAATTAAACACAGCGAAACAAAAACTTTCCAGGTTAGGGAGTTTTGGATTACGCATATTGATGACCAACAACACTTTTTATCTTAAATGCAAAATATTTATATAGATTTGTATCAATTTTTGTATAATTACTGTTCTAAGCGGTTCAGTCCATCAGCTAAAGGCATCTTTTTATGGTCTCTATATTCCAGTTAACGATTTTTCGATGACTAAATTAGTTTAAGATTATTTCAATAACCGTTGAATCATGATTAATCCAATTGTTTAGGCACTGGACAAAAGTAATGTGAGAAAGAAGGAATAGCTGCCAGAGTTGGAAATTTAAACTTGTAATTGATGTGTGGTGAATGTGGTGCCCGGGCCTCTATAAAGCGTCTTTTTCTCCACTATTACCTTTTAAAAAAAAAAAATCTTATTAATGTGATGCAGATCAGCTTTTTTTATTTTAAGGGTACATTTTAAGTTGAAGTATTTCTCTGAATTTGGTGGATTAGTGCATGCAAACCCTGAAGCTTCTGCAAATACACACACCTCCTTTGGCCTCTTTCCTCCTCCAATATTCATGTGATCCTTTAGTCGGGGACAATGGTGTGAGAGGAAATGTTGCTGATGCTGCAGTCCGGCCTCAGAAAGTCCTGATATCTGAAACCAGCTGACTGAGAGGAAGAAGTTGCGTTTATAAGACAGGATGTAGTTGAACGTGACTCCAGTTTGAATGCTAACATTCTATTTTTCTCCTTTTTTAATGATGTGAAACTGAACAAGGAAGTGAAACTGTTGTATTTCTATAATACTGAAAGTCAGTTTTAACTTTTAACTGTGTCTTCAGCTCTAGTTTGTTGCATGTTAGAAACTAATACTCAGAATTTTCTTTTGTATTTTTTCCAGAGGAGGAGCTGAGAAAGTTGCGGGAAGAGACCAATGTGGATTCTCTACGGCAGGAGCTGGAGAGGGAGCGGAGTAAAAGGCTGGATCTGGAGCAGAAGATGAATGAGGTCCTGAGAACGAGGTAAGCTGCAGATGTGAGTAATGAGGAAAAGATGGAGAACAGGTTCAGGTCAGCAGAGTTCACCATAGGTCAAGTGTGCATGTTTGTTAGCGCTGGCATTGGCTGCGGTTTCCTGTTATAAATAGAAGCATCAGCAGCTTGGTGGGCGGGGAATTCCTCAAGGAGGTGAGTTCGTGCCTGAGCTTTGAAGGAGATGGAAAAACAGGGTCGCACGCCAAAACGTATTGCCAGCTCCGTGTGACCCTGCAGCTGTGCTGGTGTCAGCTGGAGTTATGCCTGCAGGACTCGGCCTGTCTGCGATCAGCTGATACCTCTATGGCCCGCCACTGAGAAATACTACACAAGTTTCATACATCACAAATAAACATTTGTTTACTAATCATAGAAAACATTAATGATTAATGGAGCAGCAATGAATGTGCCTTAAATGATCTCAAGACAGGCTTACTGAATGCACTAATGAATCATGATACAACATGATTACAAAATAAGGAAATCGGCGTTCAAATCAACCTTTTCTTTTCTGTAGGTAAACACCACCGAAGCAGCCGCTTTGGATGTTATCATCCCATTTAGCGGTTATCAGTCCCATAGAATGGCTTCAGATTGTGCCTCCTACCTCGGGCCTAATAAGGCTCAGTAGGTTGTTATCACCCAGAGAATTATTCTATTTATGTGTAATCTGAACATAATTTTAGTGGTTCTTCATCTATTGTTAAAGAAAAAAGTTGATCAACATGTCACTCATATCGAACAAATCTCATATCCTGTCAACTCTTGTTTTTAAAAATTAAAGCATTAAATCTGTGTGACTGGAACATGTTGAATTCACTGGAAGTAAAGCTTTAAAATGCAGTTGTTGTTTTTTTAAGAAGGTATGCTGTAAATAAAGTACATAAAAGTACAAAGGAGGTAAATAGAAAATGAAACTTAATAGTCGCCGAAGCGTCTATTATTAACGATAAGCTGCATATTATCAGCCATGAGAAACGTACTAGAATGTAGAGGAGGTGCAGCCTGGAGCCTTTCTATGGGACTAATAATGGCCATTTAATGATTGATCACATCTGAAGCGGTTAATTAAAGCATAAATCTGTGTACTTGGAGGAAATCTGACTTGAACATAATCCATGTGCATCTGGTGGAGCTTGCATTATAACCAGTCTGAATGAAGCTACTCACAGTGGGTGGAGTATCCTGGTATTTTTTCTGATACTCTTATTCATGTAATATTTTAATCTACCTCATATAAAGTCATTGCGACAGCTCAATCGATACAGGTGAAGATGTAAAGGCGAATGCATGGATTGATTTTTGCAGAGGCTATGCTCTTTTTATGGCAGTGATCATTTAGCGAAGCACCTGTTGTTGGGCTGCTGTCTTAACGTGGACAGATTGGGGCTAAAATTGCATCTTATCAATCTGCATGTACCCATTTCTCTCTCTGTGGTTTGGCATCGGTTGTTTATCGAGCGAAGCACTTCCTCAGATGTTTGTCCTGTGACTCTAAAGCTTGTGGTGAAAATGAGAAGTTGCAACTCAGCTGAGTTTCCTTCGTCTTTCTCTACCCTCAGACTGGAGGACTCTCCACCTCAGCCCCCAAGGAAACAGCAGTCGCCCTCCAACAATGGCACAGGTAAGCCCCAGAGGGAGATGGAGAGGTGGGCTCTGATGGAGATATTTTCTGTGGGAGCCTATAACTGAAACACAGTGGGCCGGAAGTGTTTGTGGCCTATTGTAGGATATGAGAATGTGCGTGCGACAGATGCATGTGGTGATTTCCTCTGTGCAGTTAAAGCAAAGGTGCAGCGCCGTGTCTGCACCACAAGCGGCACTCTGTGCTTGTTTCTTTGTTTGTTTCAGAGGATAGATGAACTCATTGGTGCAACTATACTGTATGTTGTGTGGATCTTTGGGAATAAGTGTTTTTGTCAGTTTGACCCCCAGTAAGAGTGGCTTCTGTGTATGTGTACCTGTCTGTAGCTCGTCTTTAGAAATGGGCAGACCCCAGAGTGCTGTCTGGAGACGAAGGTAGGAGCTAATTAAGGAAAATAGGTTGTGATTGTGGATCACTTCATGTAGGTCAGATGACTCTCTTATCTTCAGTAAGGAGGGTTAAAGAAGAATAAGGAATGATGGAAAGTAGAGTTTAAATTGTTCTGGCATATTCCAAAAAAGGAAAAAACAAACCACTGGACTTTAGTTCAAAGTTTGAAAATGTTTTGCTTCTCATCCAGGAAGCTTTTTTAATTCAAAATGTCAGAATAAGCGCTGAGTTCCAAGCTTTATAGAGTAGCCCAAAAACAAGGCTCTGTTTGAGCTTTGTTAAAGTGAAGCGCCTTCAAACTTTGTCCAATGGATTGTTTCTTAACTTTTTTGGAATGACTATGACCTGGATGACTGAGAATCTTTACCAGCATTCTGACTTCTTAGTAAAAATAACTTAATATCATTGTTTCAATAAGGTTCAATTCATGATACTGATAAGTTTTCAATAAAAACTGAACTGTTTAATCATAAAATATCTGGAGGAATGTTCTTATAAGAGAAGATATGAGGTTTTTGACCTATCAGCTCGCTGTTCTGGTTGTTTTTGTTCTAATCAACATGGCTCCTGCTTAAGGCCAAACAGTAGGAGCTTTTGTTCTCCTTGAAAATGTTTTCTGTCTTCTCCCCACTGAACTTGGCAGGGTTTGGCTAGGTATTCAAACTTTTACATCAAACTATAGAGATCTGAGTTTAACAAGTGCTTGTTTTCACTATGCCCAGTAGTTTCAAGTAAAGTAATTGGTCTTCTCTTAATCGGCAGGTTCTCTTAAAGTTCTAACTTTAAAGTATGTGATTGACCAGTTCCTGGCGGTATTTCACTGGGAACTGAAGGGAAGCTTTCACACTTTTGAAGATTTATCTATGGCCTTTAGTTAAACTTCATATTTGGTTTCCTTTGATCTACGGAAGAGAATTATGGCCATATTGGGGGACGGTCACTTAATAAAACAAAAGATTTTGGACTTTAATCTCAAAATAAAATGTCAAATTATTTTGGACTCTGTGGCCAAATTAAAGGACTAACAATTTTATAAAAAGGGAATATTACAAGTACTCAATTCTATGAGACCAAACTCAAAATGATCAGAACAAAGTCGGAAATCAATTGCTCTTTTTTTATTGGTGTTTTTTTCTTTTCTTTAAATGTCCTAATGCTGTTGCATCATGATTAGCTTTCTCATCCTTGCTGAAACAACCTTTCAGCTTAATGCTGCTGGAGATGTTTAATCGTTACAATATTTTTCAATAATCTAAACCTCCTTTAATTGTTTCCACTCTCATCCCTTGATAATGCCATTTGTTTACTAATGTTCTCCAGCAAATGCACAAAAACTACTAATTAAAATGAGCATATATGCAAGCAGCTGACTGGAATCATCTGTCGTTCAGCAGAGAAGCAGCAGAAGGAGGTGTGGAGTTCACGGCTGCAGAAGTGGCTGTACGAGCGCTTCGGGGTTTACATCGAAGACTTCCGCTTCCAGCCAGAGGAGAGCACTGTGGAGGCAGAGGAGCCGCTAAGTGCTAAAAGGTGCGTTAGGTTTTTGAGGGACTCATTTGCTATGTTCAATTTTGGTGGCTGGATCCGTCGAAAGCTTTAAAATGAGAAGGCCAGACGAGTTTGGGTATAGATTCAAGCAGATCCAGCCTTCCCCAGCTTTTACCACCTACCAACCAAGACATTTGACTCACAAATGTGGCGAAGCCTGGTTGCCAAACTCGGTTTGCTAATTTAATTTCTGCAGAGCTTCAGCAGCTGTACCATCGTCACAGAAATCAGATTATTGTCCCCACACTTGCAGAGATATTGGAATCTGTGCTTACGTCAGAAAAAGGGACAGATAAAACCTTTCAATAAACCAAGAATAAAAAAAAAAAGAATCCACAGCATATCTGACTAAATAACCATTTAAATTAACAATTTTTATTAATTATTCACATATTTGCAATATATTAACCTGCACTTACAATATTCACCAGTGTTGGCGCCATTTCCCATTTTTCCTCTGCGCACGGAACAGCCAGCTTGATTGGACTCGTAATGAATCATGGGATAATTAGGCCACAGAGGATATAGCGGTCCTTTACTTCCAACTGGGTGAAAAGAAGCCTGCATTTGTCGGTCACACACGAAGGAGTTTTCCAATCCTAACAGACCAAGGCGCTGCACTATGATGTAATCGGCTGACGAATCTGGCCTTCAGAGGACGCAGCCCCTGCATTCAAACTCAGCAGCTGAGCACGAAGACAGACATGGCACACCTCAGGGTCATTAAGCTGCTGCTGTTACGGATTTAGTGGTTGTTGAAGTGAAAGTTAATTCAAAACGCTTATTCATGTTGTCCTTGTAGCTTTGGATCCTGTAGATTTTAGAAGCTTCGCTTTTCTGTTTCCTCTATAAAGGACTGAGTCATAGCAGGCTGATGAAGGTTACCCTGTGGCCTTCTCTTTCCTAACAAAGAAGCTGAATTTTGTCTTCTGTGCTATTCCTAACCTTCACTCTTCCTTTTCTCATTTCAGGTTGACAGAAAACATGAGGCGACTCAGTAAGTTCTTTAAAACTCATGCAAACTGTAAACAAGGATAATGATGTAACATTTTTAACAACATCCTGTCTTTTAATTAATGTTTTTTTAGTCCCAAACCTTAACTGTACGCCTTTTTATAAAGTTATGCTAACACATCATCTTAACCTTGTTTTAGAGCGAGGAGCCAGACCTGTCACTAACTTCTTAAGGAACCTCTCCGCCTTATCCAACTGGCACTCGGTCTACACCTCAGCCATTGCCTTCATTGTGAGTCAATACTTTACATAAGAGCCTCCATATATAAGTCAGCCCTAAGAAAGTTTTATGCAAAATTTGCTGTCAATTTTAGATTTAAAATGAGGATTAAAAACATTTCTGCAGGTGAAGCTTTAGAGTTTGTAGATGAGGAAACAAAACGAATGAGTTTTATGGGTTTTATTGACTCTCGCAGAGATCACTGAGGTGGAATTAGATCTTCATTAATGTCTAAAGTTGTGCCAACTCTTCTGCCAGTTGAACTGTAGCCAAAATTACTCTGAATCTTTAAAGTTTGGTCATTTAACAACATAATGATAGTAGAGTTTGTCATGATTATCATCGATTGTCAACGAAAGGATGAATTTTTCTTTTATTAATGGTAAAAATAAGTGTTTTTTTTATTATTTGATAAAGAGGATCCAATTGTCCTTATTTTCTCAGACTCTTAACTCTAGGTTTTTATTCAGAATCAGAAATACTTAAATAATCCCAGAGCTAAATTACTTTTGTTACACGCTCCAGTGCAAAAATAGTGCATAAATGTCAATTATTGTTAAATATATAGATATTTTTAGTTTTTATTTTAACCATTTCCTTAATTTGTCTTTATGGTTTGTGTATAATCCCTGAGCATGATGCTGCCGCTACCATATTTCATTATTACCATGGTGTGTTAGGGGATATTTTCTGTTTCATGTGGCCTATGAAGTAGAAAATTTGTATTTATTCATCAAGCTACTTTCACAGATCTCAAACATTAAAGAGGAAGAAGTTTAATAATTCTAAAACCAGATAATTTTTTCCCCCACCTATTTGCTAAATTTGACAACTACAACCAGTTACCACGTCTTTTTATTAGTTTTATACGTTTTTGTTTGGATTTTACTCAGGGGTGTCAAAATAAAGGGAGCTGAAGGCAAATGAATGAAACCTTTACTGGTGGTTTGTGAAATAATTATTTTATTTCTGGCTGGGCACAGAATAAAAGTTTAATTACGTCTTTTTTTATTATAATTATTATTATTGTTTAAAGATCTGGGCTTTTTAGTTGCTGAACACCTCCTGATAATGAGATGTTCTCTTCTCTTCAGATTTACATGAATGCTGCTTGGCACGGCTGGGTGATCCCCATGTTCCTCTTCTTGGCCATCTTACGCTTATCTTTAAATTACCTCATTGCCAGGTAAAAGAAAAACTAATTTGTTTGTTTTCTGCATAAAAGCAGTTTAAATGTTAATAACAGAGAAGTCGGGTAATGAATAGATCTTTAAATAAAATGATGTAATTATAATTTCTTTGTGTGCCAGAGGGTGGAGGATCCAGTGGAGCATTGTGCCTGAAGTTCAGGAACCCATGGTAGGAAATCCTCCAGCTAGATCACAGCAAATGCAGCTTCTTTCATGGATCAAAGTCTGTTTTAATTTACTGCTCATTGTTTTGCAGGAGCCCCCAAAGGAAGACTTGACTGTGTCTGAAAAGTTTCAGCTTGTACTCGACGTTGCACAAAAAGCTCAGGTACAGGATTCATCTGCACGGCCGAATCCAAAATAGAAAAGAGTGATGGTTTATGGGGTTTTCTTTGTTCCGTCTACAGAACATTTTTGGTAAGATGGCCGACGTTCTGGAGAAGATAAAGAAGTAGGTTCCACTTCACCTGAGATCCTGTCCTGCTCTTCCTGCATCAGAACCCGACTCATTTCCTGTCTGCCTCTTTGTGCGTTGCAGTCTGTTTATGTGGGTGCAGCCTGACAGCACCCGGAAGCTTTACATCTGCCTGTGGGTCGCTTTCGTCGTGTCCTGCGTCCTGCCATACAAGCTGATGGGTTTCATGATGGGTGAGACTCACAAACATTGCACACAGTTTTTAAATATCAGTGAAACCACTGAATAAATGCAGCTGTTATACACAATGAGAGCACTTCCTGATCAATATAGTTAAATCATCCGATGTAAACGTTTATAAAACACCTGCTTAGTGTTTTTTATTAATCTGAAGAGCATCTTTTTAACAAGCTAATGTCTAAATTAATCAGGCTACCTGCTCAGTAGGTGGACTTTGAAAGAGTGTTCTTTGAATTAAAAAAGACTAAATTATTCTTTCAAGTTTAAAATAAGTCTAAAATGTTTTCTTTTAAAGTGATAAGTTCAGAAGCCAGCTAACTGGCAGTGTGCAGCTGCAATCTGTGGATGGAAAGTGCTCCAGCATTTTCTCTGCATGATCCTTAGAATGGCTAGAAAAGTATAGAATTATATTAGTTTTTTTATTTTTTTTTTTAATCCATGTGTGGATATTTATGGGAAATTAGAACCATCTGTCCAGGTTCCTTATTTAAAGCTCAAAACTGATAATAAGAAAAGGCTTAAGACTTCTTTTAATGAGGAAAAATCTGAAAAGTTGATATGAAAACTGTGCCTCCCACCATCTTCATAGCTTCTACAGAGCTATAGAGGGGAGTATCAAGCTGTGACATCAAAGTCACAATCATCAGATTGTTCCAAATCTGATTGATTAGTTGGCGGTGCCTCTGATTTCATCACAGCCCTTTTTTTCCCGACCTCCTCACTAGTTTCTCTCTCCTCTCCACAGGAGTGTACGCCGGTATAAAGTTCTTCATCATAGACTTCTTGTTTAAGAGCTGTCCAAAGCTTCGGGACAAGTATGACACACCTTACATAGTATGGAACAGCCTCCCCACGGACCCCCAGCTCAAAGAGAGGACCAACGCCACCGTGTCACGGAGGGTGAGTGGGCCGGCTCTCCTAAACAGATCAAACTAAAGGTTTACAGGTCGTATGACAGTGTAGCCCAGTCCTCCGTCGCACCGAGAGGAGCAGAGAAGAAAGAAGCGAGTTGCTCTCACTCTGTTCGCTCTCTGTTCTGTCTGTGGTTACCTAATGGTGTGTGAGGATGCGTGGCTTCAGTCTCAGGTCTGTTCTGTTGTTTCTCTCTCTCAGCTCTCCTGCATTGAGAAGGTAGGGGCTCTGGTGTGTCCCCAACCCTTTGGTTTCCTCCCCACCCCGCCCCCCTCTGTGCGTGTGGGTGTGCCCACGAGCTCACCTCGAAGCGTGTGTGTGATGCGTGACACTTTCAGGCAGTGACTGAATGAAAAGGATCAAAAATATCAGAAAATATCCAAATATTTTTATCTTTAAATTAAATACCAACCTGGTTTTCTATGTATCAGCAACACTTCTGGCATTTCTGATCCTACATGCTCTCAGATTTAGTCTTTATTAAGTAGCCAAGAAGCACATAGACCTGTTTCATTTGACATTATAAGGTTTCCTTGTTTAGCTTAACAAGCACTAATAAACCCTGAGTTATAAAAGCTGGTAGTTTTATGTAGAAAAACTCTAAGCATAAAGCCATCATGAGATGTTTTAGTGTAAAGGTTGGCATTTTTACACACGGCAAACATACACCTGAAACTTTTTCACAGCATCATCGTGGAGTGATGGATTTTATCATCGGGGGGCAGGGTGGGTTTATTGGAAGATGAATCCAAGAGGAAAAACCAGTTGGAGGAAATAATGCTTTCCAGTAAAAGCCGGTACAAACGTAGGGAACCCATGGATGGCTTTCCTTGACTTTCCACGATGCTCCATCACTGGGGTTTAATCCTCTGGGGTTTGGGATGTGAAAAAGTTTGAGGCGTGTGAATGCTGCGAGAAGGCGCTGTGAACTAACCAGAGTCATTTGGGTTTGTGCTCATCCAGAGGCTAAGTGAATGACGGCCTCCCTCTCAGCTTTGCACGTTTACACCCGAGCCTGACGTAATGAAGTGCACATGCAGAGACGCACATTGTTCAGTACTAACAGCTCAAGATGATGTTTGGAGAGTATCAGTGATGTGACCTGTTTCTCCCTCTTTTATCCCCTTTTTTTTCCATCTTCGTTTTCCCCTTCATTGCCTTTTCTGTTGACTTATCACTTCTATGCCATCCTCCTGGGGTTTTTTTTTCTTTCTTTTTCTTCCTCCTGTTTCTTCTCCTCTCATATGGCCCCCAAGGTTCAACCGGTGGTGTCTCGGAGCAGCCTAGCCACGGTACCCAGCGGTATGAGCAGGGAAGACGAGGCAGGTCGCTCTCACAGCACCAAAAAGGGGCCCTTCCATGAGATTTTCAACCTGCCAGAATCAGAGCGCCCTCTGGCGGGTGAGGAGACGTATTACAGCCAGTTAAAAATTCACCACAGAAGTTTTTTAAAGACTGCATTGAAATCATGTGAGCTTTTTTGTGTTTTCATAGTGTGTGAGAACGGCTGGAGGTGTTGTCTGATAAACAGAGACAGGAAGATGCCCACAGACTACATCAGGAACGGAGTACTCTACGTGACAGAGAAGTACGTTTGGTTGCTCTCGCTCATCCAGAGGACATGATTAGAAACTGTTTAAGAGGTTATTAAGCTAAGTTTGTGTCAGCTGACCAACTTTCTTCTACTTTCTTTCAGTTATCTTTGCTTTGAGAGCTCCAGCTCCAAATCCAGCTCCTCCAAGAAAAATAAAGTGATCAAGCTGGAGGACATCACAGACGTCCAGAAGGTATCCCACTGTTCTACTGTACTGGAATCCATGCATACAGGCATAGATAAACTGCTATAAAGGACTAATTATTTAATTTTCTTCTTTAGTACAAAGTTCTGTCGGTTCTGCCAGGAAGCGGTATGGGCATCTCTATAGCCACTCCGTCTACTCAGAAGGTAAGTGTTCTGCTGCTCTCACCAGGCGGCCTCCAGCTATAAACTAGAACCCTTAAGGAAAAGTTGCTTTTTGTCTCAAACTCAAATAAACGGACTGGTGCTGGTGACATCTCATTGGATTTTAAAGATATGGCAATGTTTCAAACTTAAAAATATATAAGGTTTGTAGAATTATGCCGCCTCGACCGAAAGAGGAAGTCTTCAAAAGCTGTATCTAGATCTGGAAAATCCTGGACTTATCAGCAAAAACATCCCCAGATGTTGTTGTCGCCCCTCCCCTCCCTGAGTACAATTTTTTTCATGTTTCTAAAAACTTTTTTCCAAAATTTTCTAAACCACAAGGTACTAATCAATACAAAAAGTATAAAAAAGTACAAAAATTTGGTCAGAAATATCTGAGATGTTTACGGTTTACTAACGGCACTGTGGCTATGAGTCTGAATACAAAAGTTGGTCCAAACAGAGCAAAATCACATTGTAGAAATTTGTTCGCAACATCATTTCAGATCCAGAGCATCAAGCTCCAGAAATCAGCACTTAGAGCAACGGGGAATGTGGCAAACAGCATCTCCAGTTAAAAGATAGAAAACTGAGGAGGACATGGGCTGCAGATGTAAACATTTCCTGGTCACAAAAGAAGGAACAGACTGAAGCTACAGGAAAAAATTTTAAAAGACAACAAACTGCTTCACTTTATCTTTCAATGACTTACCGAACGGCTTTAAGAACACAGGTTCACTCAGAATCCGTTAACACAGAGCAGAGACAGTAGTGAACACCATTACTGTATGACACAGAATCCTAACAACAACAATGCTCGGAATAGAAAAATAAAACAACCATATTAAAAATATAAAGTAAAATTACTGAGTACTATATGCATTAGAGCAGACTTGTCTGTTCTTGAGATTGACAGCTGTCCCAGCATGCACTGCGGCAGCAGCAGCTTCCAGGGGAGCGCTCAGAGTATTAAGTTAAAAGTTCTCTTTTCTGTTGCCGTTGTAGGCAACAGCAAAGAGGATCATTTAAGGTGAAAATGTTATCCTTTTTAGCATCACTATACGGCCTATTTACTGATTTAGAGCTCAATTTAAAAAAAAGTTGCGATGTTGAGAGACTATTAACAACAGGAGGTGAAATGCAGCTCCAGACGAGCTGAGCGTGTGGTGAAGTCACGAGTACGCTTCTGTTTATTTATGATTTATGCTGCATTCCCTCAGAGTCCAAACTTTCCTGTGTTCTTATCAAGAACATACTTGGTGAGAACTGGAGTCCGTACTCACGTTTTTGTGAATTGAGAAACGGCCAAGGTTTCTAAAGTAGGGTGAGTCCTAAACCCAGAAGGAATCTACTTCTGTTTTCCAACACACCCATCACTGCAGATCCAGAAACACGATCTCCAGTTTGCTCACAGCTGCAAAAATGAAGAGGCTTTTTTAGGTATGGCGGTGCCTCAGTTATAATTTGGAACATCTGGACAAGAAACCTGCAGAGTGGAGAGAGCAGAGCAATGCTCAGAAGCTGCTGGTAGCTTCTCATAATCGCCTGTTTGGTCATGGTTGAATCAGCTGATTCTTCTAAGAATCCAAATAGACTGGATATGCTGATGAATTGGAGAAAGGTCTGATATGCTGATGAATTGGAGAAAGGTCTCCTAATAAAGGTTATGATTAAAAAAGTTAGTTTTTTTTGTTCTTTAGCCAATAAACCTAATTATCATTGGTGCTTAGCTAACCTGCCTCTTACCAGGTGTTTGCGTCTGTTTCAGCCGCTGGTGTTTGGTGCAATGATCCACAGAGACGAGGCGTTCGAGACCATCTTCACTCAGTACATGAAGATTGTCACCACCTCCAAACCACCGACCAGCGCAGAGATTTAGGCCGTATGCTCTTCACTTCCACTCCTCCTTTTTTTGGGAGGGCAGCAGAAAACTGAAGCGGAGCGGCTTCTGATTCCCTCAAACTCCTCCTGCTCTCTGGACAGATGTCGGCTCCTCTTTGAAGGCTCCCAGTCCTGCTCCAGCAGAAGGACGCCGTTCATCCTGCAGGGGAAGCTAACAGAGTGAGGAGTCGGATGGGCGTAGCTCCTACGAGCTGCTGAGGAGCTGGATCTCCTCTTCCACCTGATTTTTTTGTTTGTTTTTTTTGTCCTGGCTTTCTGGTGTTGCATGTGTGAGTGTGTGGTGTCAGCTACAATAGGAAGCTTTCTCTAACCTGCTTCGAACTACCAGATTGGAACCGGTGCCTGTTGGCTGAAATCCAACGAAACCACAGTTGTGAACGTGTTCAGCAGCCGTTTGTTTTCCTTAGTGTTGAACATGTCCGCCTCCAACCAACAGAGCCTTTCTGTTAGTTTACATCACCGTTCTTTGTTTTTTTTCTAAACACATTTCAGCAGCGACAGAGCCGCCAATGAAACCGGCTCACAAACTGAAAAAAAAAAAAACCTGCTTCTGTTTAAGTGTGCCGACTTGGAAAGTGACGTAAATGTTTAAATTCTTTTATTCTTTTGCCTTTTTATTCTTTGAAAGTCTCTGTAAGAAACAGCCTTCTCTGGATGCGTAGCTGGTAGACAAGCACAGCGCTGACTGCCATTTCTTAGATTTCTGGCACAGTTAGAGAACAGTGTTTATGTCAGAGCTCTAGCTGTACGTGTCTGAAGAAATCTATTTTAATGTTTAGCTGGTTTATTTCATGCACTTTACCAGAACTCCTAACTGGACTTGCTGGGAGGAATGTTTGACTATTAAATCCTTCCATAATTAGCTGGTCAACAAAATCAGGCACTTAGTCCCATAAAAAAAAATGTGCAATTAAATAAATAAATAAAATCCTTATTTTATATGTCAGTGTAAAACCCAGGCCTATTTATGGCTTCTGATTTGTCGCTTGAGCTGTTTTTGGGTTTGTAGCAGTTAAAAGTTATGATGATGATCTACAATAGTGCCTCACAAAAGTATCCATAATGCAGTTTTAGGTCCGTCCTTACCGTGCTTCTCTATTAGCTTCCACCTTTTGAATGTAGGTCAAAAAGCAGCTTCTTAAATGTTAAACCTGGACACTTCCTGCTTTTTTCTTTTAACCCCCTGGTGCTCATTGTTCTGTAAAAGCCGGATCTGTGAAATGAACAGTTATCTAGTCCCACCTGAGCTGCAGATGTCTGCAGCTCCTCTCTTCTGAGATACTTTTGTCAGGCACCACAGCTGCTTTTCTCTCCCTCTATCTGCAATGTCACAGATACAGCTGAGATTTCCAGCTGTAGTCAAAGGTCTAGGCTTAAACAAATCTTTAGTATCACTGTATTCTTGAAATTTCCCAAGATTAAAGCAGGTCTTTGCTCTCGGGGAATGGCTTAATCTGTGTTTTAAATTCAATGCCAAACTAAAAGACACTTTCTGGTGTTTTAGTGAGCAGAATGCAGTGATGGACCGGAGGATTATCTTTGGAGTTTTAGTGTGACTGATATGAGATATAGAGTAGCTCTATAAAACTCTCCAGCGACCTAACTTTCCTGTATGTCCTAAACACTGTTCAAAGGGGAAGCCTTGACATTTACTTTTTTATTTCTGACTGATTATGGTCTGCTTTAAACAGACTGTCTCAGATCCTCTAAACTGCCCTCACACTAGAAATGTCAAGGTTTCTCCTCAATCCTAACTCCTCCTGTTCTCCTCCATCTGACTCAGCTGAGCTGGATATGAAGCTGCCTGAACTGCAGCAGACCGGTTCAGTCCGTTTTAAAGTGAGAAGAATGTTTATGTTTTTACTTTAGAATCTGTTCACTGTGCTGAATCATGAGAAGGCTGTTCTCAAATATAGCAAAGAATGTACTATATGATAGAGCCTTCCCTTCCCTGAAACTAAAAGGTTCACTTCCCAGAACTTTCTACACGTTTCTCATCAAAAGTGAAGCTCCAGCAGGCCGGAGAACCCGAGCATGGTTAAAGATTCTCCCTATACAGCTTTAGTTCTGTTTTCTGACCTTTGACCTCTTTCCTCTGAATGTAAGAACTTAGTTCTTACATTCAAAGTAAACTTGAGAAAGTCGGACGAAAGTGAGATGGAGGTGGGACTACAATATTCAGCAAGTTGTTTAAAAAAATCTGAATATCTGAGGACTGTGCAGACAGAATTTTCCACGACTTTCCAGGTAGTCTTTCATAAACTTAACTGGCTTTTTCAAAAAACTTGAAAGAAACCTTCCCTGAACTTGAAACCCAACTTAATATTTTGCAGATTCTTTAGTGGAATATGTCTATTTTTTATCTAAAGATGGACATTTCTTTGAGAAACTATCCAGGAAATCCCAGGACAGTAGTTGCTACATCAAAGCATGAACCTGAGAAGCTCCAAGAAAGTTCAAGGAAAGTTTTTAATAAATATCCAATTGTTTTTTTTGGAGAAGTTTTTTTTTTTTTTACACAGCACCATTTACTGTACTCATTCACAACAAATGTAATCTCTAGAAACTTTACTAAACAGTCTAGTAAAGCCTGTCTAGTAAAGTTTCTTCATGTTACATTGCATCAAGTCTGCATCATGCATATTTGAATACCTCCTGATAAGTGATAAAATTCCCAATAAAGTATCTGGTTAGTTCCAGGAATCTAATCTTGAAGTTCTAGGAAAGTAACCATAAAGTTCTGGGAAAGTAACCTTGAAGTTCTGGGAAAGCACTAGACTGTTCCATGTAGTATTACTGATGTTTTAAAAGTGGAACGTTATTCTTTATTTTTGCCAAAACTTTATTTTTTTTTTCTGTCTGCCACGCTCTGCCTATGCTCATGTTTACATTGATAACAGTTTGATGTTTGAATTCCTTCGACTTTGGAGTTATGAAGACTGAACTGATCTTCTAAAATTATTTCTTTTTTTTAAGTGTTTTTTTTTTCCGTCTCCAATCAGATGGCCTCATCTCCACAAACCATAGTGACAATAAAACCAGTATTTCAAGCTTCAGAGTACACGTTCAAGTTAATGTTCAGTTCAAGCTGCCAGAAACATCACAATCGATAGTTACGAGGGATTGCTGTGGCAACATCACTGATTTGCACTAGAAGTTAAATCTCCCAAATGGGGGATATTGTCTCTTTCCTTTCATCTGGTGTCTGCTTTCCCATTAAGTATATTCTGTGTGTTTAGTATTAATGAAGTGTTTCCAAAACAGCATTCATCATCCAAGTGGAGCTCAGAGAGGATACACTCTGGAACATCTGCATCATTTTAGTAATTCTCTACAGGCTGTAAAACGATTAAAATCATTGTGACTCAGTCACAGTATCTAGTCGGTCAGTTGTGGAGGACGCTGTAGTTTTAACAGTAAATTGTCAGCGACTGCAGCTCTTTTTATTTGATTTTTTGTTTTGTTTTGTTTCCTTTCTTGAAGAGGAATTTGTATACAAAATAACTGAAATGTTAAGAAAATAAACCACTGAGTTTTTAAAAGACACTTCTATTGTAAGAGATAATGTGATGTAATTTTTTTTTTTATTTAAGTAAAAGAGTTTAAGATACCATCATGCCTCTGTCTCTTTCTCAATGAGTTTTAAGTGCAGTACCTGCATCTGACCACCAGAGGTCAGTGTGTTTTTACTTTTCCTGTTCATTTTTATGTTTTTGGGCTTTTTACATATATTTAAAGACATTAATTATATAAATCTGATTAGAATAAGAGCCTCAATGTGGTTTATATTTCTAATTATGCAATTAGTTTAGTTTTTTTCCTCACTTTAATCAAAATATATCAAAATTAAATGGGGTTTTTTGTGTGTCAGAGATTCCATGAGAAATCAAGTCTTCCACTAATTTAAAAGCCAGGATTTGATCTTTTGCAGATAATTTATGAAAGGAAACTTGAACTGATGCTCCCGAACACGAGCTGACAGCCCTCAAGGCTCCTCTAAAGCAGATCTGAGCCTCCTTGTAACGCACTGATCCTCCTGCTGTTTCCCTCAGCAAGTCGTCCTATTTTGAGACAATGCGATGCAAAGAGTGTCACCGAGACAAAAACCAACTTGCATTGAGTTTAAATGTAGTTTGAGGCGAAACGCTGTAAACTGACACCTTTGTGGCTCATATCCCCCCCACTGCTTAAATTGATGGATTTGGCATATTTTTAGTCAGTCAGTCTGAGATGTTTCCATTTAATATCTGTATTCATGACTCCATATGACAGCTCTGCTTGCTCTACTTGTCTGGGTTAGTATGTTTTAATTGAAGTGTCACCAGGCTTTAGCAGCTAAACTACAACCCTGGTAGGAAGAGTGAGTTTATGAGGGAGGAAAAATCTGAATATCTTATTTAAATAGTTTCAAATGATCACCATACTGTTTCCTTCATATCTGTCTTGCAGTGCTTTGCATAAACAATTACTGTTATAGACTTAAATATTTTAATATAAGAGCAATGCACAATAGAACACATTTTTTATATATATTTAGACCTGCAATGTTTTTTTTTATTTTTTATTTTTTGTTCCTTTCTCTGCAAAACAGCTGATACTTATAGTGGATTAAGAGCATGTATAAAAATACATGTTTTTAAGACTTCAACCAGATTCTATTTAATGTAGGTCTGGACTTTAAATAGTCCATATTCTATCAAGTTAGCTCTATGTTCAGAGTTCTTGTTCATCTAGAGGATGAACCTCTAAAGCAACTTCTGAGGATGTATTTAAAACGATCAATCTTCCCATCGTGCTCTCATTCATTTGGGATTTCCTAATGCAATTGATGACTCAATTTGATTGCTTTTTGATTCAGTTAAGAACATTAAGCAATGAACCCAATGACGTTACATTAATCATGTATTTTATATTAAAGGGATAGTTCGGTATTTTTGACATGAATCTGTATGGCATCCCCATCACCAGTGTCATGCAATCACACTGACTTACCCCTGGCAGCGTCCTGTGAGCAGAGTTATCGTCCAGTTTTGGTCAAGCCGAAAGTAGTCCGGCAGGTTTGCTAGAGTCAGCGAAATAAAACGTTTCTCTTCCCAAAACATTATGTGTTCAAAAGAGTGATATTTTTGCATCCCAAAAACGTTGTAGTGGAAAAAGTCACACGTCGTTATCACTTGGTCCTATTTTCTCTCTGTTCGTATCAGTGCGCGCCGTCATTCAGACAGCGAGCTCAACAACAGCCAGATGCATGTCTCCCTCCGCCTAGCTCCTAGCTGGGCGGAGGGAGACATGCATCTGGCTGTTGTCAGGTTAGTAGGCCCTAGCTGTCTGAATGACGGCGCGCACTGATACGAACAGAGAGAAAATAGGACCAATTGATAACGACGTGTGACTTTTTCCACTACAACGTTTTTGGGATGCAAAAATATCACTCTTTTGAACACATAATGTTTTGGGAAGAGAAACGTTTTATTTCGCTGGCTCTAGCAAACCTGCCGGACTACTTTTGGCTTGACCAAAACTGGACGAGACTCTGCTCACAG